AAATAATTAGTCGCCGAATTCTATGCAGAGGAGGGGTTGGGGGTTGTGGAAAAGGTATATAAAGGGCAATAAAGTGGGAAGAGGGGTCTCTCCTCTGCCTCTCTCTCCTTTTTCTTTTCCTCAGAGGTTGTGTTTTTCTTTCATCCTCTCCCCTCCTCTCAGGTACTGTTCGACTAGTGACGGCTGGCACCGTCACTCCAGGACAGGTTTATGTAGCTGCAGATGTTTGGTTTAGGAAAATGAGGGCGTCTGGGTGGGGACGGGGTCCCATGGGAGAGAGCTTGCCTGGTACCAGTGAGACACGGGGGTCACTCAGCTCTAGCACCGTGGAAAATAAGTCAGTTTGGTTCATTTATAAAAACTGTGCTCCTGGACCAGGGGGTGGTGGCTCGTGCCTATAATCCCAGCACTCGGGAGGGTGAGGCCGGAGGATTGCTGTGAGTTTGAGGCCAGCCTGGGCTGAACTACACAGCAATACCCTGTCTCAGAAAACCAAAAATAAACTGTGTCAACATTTGAAAACTATAAAAGTAGGGAATCGGTATTTTCCAAATGACCAATACATGAAGTCACAAAATCATACATAGATAAAAGACTAGTACAAATCTCAAAATAGACCAAAGAATTTATGCCCAGTGAAAAAGTTGACATAGTTTCAGATTCCATGTTGCAACCGTCCTTTAAGGAGCTACCACTTGTTGAACTTTAGTGTAGTATCAAAGAAGATTTACAAGTTATTTAAAATTTTTTTTAAAAGAAGAAATGCACAATTATCTGATAATTCTATCAAATATCCCTCCCTTTTCAATTATATGTCCTTGTGAAGACAGATTTACTTCACCAGCCATGCAACCCATCATAGCACAGTGAATATGGAGACAGATAGGAGACTGCAGACATCTCCTATTGAACCATACAATGAAAGAGATTTGCAACATGAAAAATAATACCACTCCTTTATTTTTGTTTTAGAAAATAAAATTGTTCTCCATAAAAATGCTGACTTATTATTTTAAATGAAATATATAAATACCAAAAAAACAAAAATAAGGAAAGAGGGGAAAGAAAAAAATGAAAAAAGAAGGAAAAAATGGAAACAAAGCTTATGTAAATAGGGAGGAGTGGAGGGGTTGAAGGGAAGGAAGGGGAATGGGAAAAAATAAGAACCAAGATATATCATGTACAGGTAAAAATACCCAATAATGAATGTGATCATAATGTATACCTAAAATGTACCAATAAACTTAATTAAAAGACCCCAAAAGAAGTAAATAAATACAATTGCTTAGTAGATTGATTTCAGTTCTCTATTGTTTGAAAAAAAATTCTCCTTTGCCTTAATATATTCAGAATTTTTTTTTAATTTCACTGATATAAATTCTTTTTCTTTTTTTTCCGGTACCAGGGATCAAACTTGGGTCTTTGCGCTTGCGTAGCAGGTGGTGAAACCACTGAGCTGAATCTCCAGGCCTCACTGATTTAAATTCTTGGGCAAAAGAACTGGGCAAAACCAGTCGGCTCTTGCTAAGTGTTACATAAGTGTGTTTTCGAAGCTTCAGGTCAATTTACCTGGCCACTGGCCAGGCGTGAATATTCCTGTGCTCCCTAGCTTTGACCAGCATTAGGGATTTTTGTTTGGCTTAATAGCTGTTAATCAGGAACATACTACACACGGTCTTTAACCTGCATTTCCTTAATTACTAAGGAAGTCGAGTCCTTCCAGACCTGTATTTATTGTTTGTATGTTCACTTAGGTGGACAGGGCTGCGGGGGCAGGCCCTCTGCACTGCCTCCTGGGGGGATGGGGGGGGAAGGACCCATCTGGGTGGGGTGCTGGGCGCTCAGGGCACAGCTGGGGCGGAAGGAAGCCTGGAAGGCTGCTCAGAGCCAGGCCATCGGGAAGGTGTGCATGGTGAGAAGATGCCATGGGGACAGGCACAGGGACAGGCCACAGACCTGCGCGTCTCCCGCTGTGGCCGAAGTGTGGCGTCTCACTAGGGTTGGGGGGATATGGCTGCAAAGGAGTGGCCAGAGCCAAAGTCAGAGTTAGATCTTCACCTGGCGCATTTTTGGCCGTCCCTGTTCCTCATGGGGATGACGTGATCTGCTGTGTGTTGTAGAAAGACCTTTCTCTTTCCCTTTTTTTTTCGTTGTTCTTAGGTTTTGAGGCAGGGTCTCACTATGCAGTTCAGACTGGTCTTGAACTCAGTATGTAGCCTGGGCTAGCTTTGAACTTTCGCCATTCCTCCTGCCTCAGCCTCCTGAGTGCTGGGATTACAGGTGTGCACCACCAGGACTGGTTAGAAAGACCTTTCTGGCACCAATGAGAGGTAGATTTGGAGGCACTGTTAGTGTCAAGCATCATAGATATGGACTGCAAATAAGCTTTTTATGTAATGTGCACATTAATCCTTCATCTGTCCTATTGAAAACTACATGCCTTTTTAAAATATTTTAAATTGTGGTTAAATAGGCATAACATAAAATTTACCATTGTAGCTGGGTGTGGTGGTGCACATGCCTGTAATCTCAGCACTCGGGAGTCTGAGGCAGATCGCTTCTGAGTTTGAGGCCAGCCTGGGCTACACAGCGAGACCCTGTCTCAAAAAACCAAAAAACAAACAAAAGAACGCATTGGTGGAGGTGTCCAATGGGCGGTGGAAAATGGGGGAGAGAAGCTGGGCCGAGAGCATGCAGGCTCAGCAGGTAGCTACTTGGCACCAACAAATACGAGGGGTTACTACTCTGTAAACTTCCAAAGCCACAACCTGAGTGTTGCTCCTGCCACCTGTGGTCATCACATCTCTATGCTGCAGTTTTAGGAGTGCTGAGGAGGAAAAACATTTGGTGACAGAAGATAAGCTGGAGGGCTGGGGATTTAGCTCAGTAGTTTCGCCGCCTGCCTTGCAGGCAAAAGGTCCCGAGTTCAATCTCTGGTCCAAAAAAAAAAAGAAGATAAGCTGGAAATATTTATCCTGGAGAGACAGTGCCACCCATTCAGTCACCATGCCACACGCAGTGGTGTGTCCTGGGCAGCACCAGGAGGGTGATGTGCAGCAAATAGATTCCCTGCTCCCTGGGCCCACCAGTCCCGGAGATCGCAGAGACGACTGAGTGCTTATGGACAGAGCTGCCAGCCTAAGAGAACAGTTTACACACCACAGGGATCAGGTCCAGTCCAGAGGTGAGAAGTTTCCCCTAGGGCAGTGGTGGGAACCCTCAGCCCCTGAGCTGCAGCAGGTTGTTTGTATCATTGGAAGCTCTAAAAGGTTTGCCACCACTGGCCTAGGAAATAATTTCTGGATCTTTTCTTTCTTTCCCTCTCCCACATACACCTTCCCCAAGCCTCATCATAAATTTCATAGGAAAGGAAGGGGAAAATACCTTCATGTGAGAGGAAGCCAAGGCTGAATGCACTTTCTGTGTGTGCATTTGTAGCCCTCCTATAATGACTCACCCTGGCTGGATGGGGTGAAATCCCAGCACTTGGGAGGCTGAGGCAGGAGCATTGCTTCGAGGCCAGTCTGGGCCACATAGCGAGACCCTGTCTCACAAACAAAACAAAACAACAACAAAAAAGATTCACCCTGACGTTTCCATGTGTCAAATCCACAATATCCTGTGATTACTGTCTGACTGATCCCAACCCTGCCAGGCAGGCAAGTGTAACTATTCGCATTTGGCTGAAGACAGTACGTCTGAGAAGTTAGGTACGTTGCCTAAAGCCACATGGCTTGCTAATGGTAGAGCTAGGACTTGAACTCAGGTCTCCTAACACCGAGACGATTGCCATGGTCTGGGTATTGTTTGCTGTACCCTCTCAAGTCCCGAGTGGAAGCGTGGTCTGAAAGTTAACAGCAGGGTCGTTAAGGGTTGACCATATCACGGCAGTGCCACTCTCAGTTGGAGCTCAGTGAGCCTCTTTATTTATAAGGTACTTACGCGCAGGTGTTCTGCACACAAAATTGACTAAGACAATGGTGTTATTCATGTAACACTTAATCTTTCACCTATTCATTCACCCATCCAACATACACTGATTACCTTTTGAGTGTCAGGTCATGTGTGAAGCAATCAGGAGCCGCTGCCAGGTTGTAAGAAGGAAAACAGATGTGATGTACAATGTAGGTTTTAGACAGGACCATCTTTGGAAAGAGAGGACAGTGTTTCCAAACTACGGTCTGGGATTACCTATGGAGCCAGGATCTCTGAGGTTTGGGCTTAGAAATTTCATGATCAGATAAGGATTGGGGAATCTCATTTTTCTTCTCTTTTTTTTTTTTTCTGGTTCCAGAGATCGAACTCAGGTCCTTGCGCTTGCAAGGCAGGCAACGGAAACACTGAGCTAAATCCCCGCCCAAATCTCTTTTTATTGATTCCAATAAAATAAAGAGAGAGAGCCGGGGATTTAGCTCAGTGGTGCCATCACCTGCCTCGAAAGGGCAAGCTCCCAAGTTCGATCCCCGGTACCAAAAAAAAAAAAAAGAGACAGAGGCACTGTGCTACAGAGGTGGTGGGACAATCTGAGTCTGACCTCACGAGTGGCTGCAGTAACCAGGTGAGAGGCGATGAGAGACAAAGGGTTGGGGTCATTTAGATGGTGTGGCCAGGACTCCCACCCCATCCTTCCTCAGACTGAGGCCGAGATTCAGAAAGTGGAGCCAGGCTGGCGTGGTGGTGCATGCCTGTAGTCCCAGCACTCAGGAGACTGAGGCAGGAGGATCACTGCAAGGTCAAGGCCAACCTGGGCTACATAGCAAGACTCTGTCTCAAAAAAAAAGTGGAGCCAGGGTGATTCCCATCTGGATCCCCTGTCTACACACAGACACTTATACACATACCTTAATTTTAAGTATTTTATATTTATTTTCCTGAGCATGTATCTTGCAACTTTCCATTGCCTTGTAGTTGTCCTTTGCTTTAGGAAAGCCTAAGAGAGACATGAGGGGCGGCCAGGTAAGGTCTTAAACCTTTGTATATCTTTCTTTGGGACTGGATAGCAGACCACAAAGGAGACGCAAGGACTACAGGGAGAGAAAACAGCAGGCTTTGGGAGACACCTCGGATCCCTGTGCCCCGGGGCCTCCAGGAAGCTGCTGGAGTAACTCCAGAGGCCCAGGGAGTGGTGACCCCGTTTGGCTCCCCGGTTGTTACCGTGTCCAACCGCTGGGAGCGGGCCAGGAATTCAGGAAACTAAAGCAGCCGCAGAAGCCTCCGCAGCCGCCTCCCCCGAACATCAACAAGCTTAGCAATAAAATGCGGTAAGACGCCTCCCGCTCAGCCCCGCAGCCCAGGAGTAGAGGGCTGCTTGCGGGGCTCCCTTGGGCCTCGGGTCGCAGGCTGTTTCCCAGCATCTCGGGGCCCGAAAGTGACTCCCCAGCTCTGGGCGAGGGAACCCGAGGCCGAGGACGCCGTCATCTTCTCGCTGCCAAGCAAGGGAAGATGGGAGCGAGCCGAGGCAAAGGCTGAAGAGGAGGACAGAAGCAGCGCGGGACATCTCGGGCCAGGCGGGGCCTCGGAGCGCGAGGCTGAAGCCCGGCAGGACTCGGACGGCTCCGCGGAGCCGGCGCCGGGGAGGGGCGGAGCTCACCGGGGGAGGGGCTTTGAGAGCAGCCAATCACGAAGAAGGCTGCTGCCCGGGGGCGGGGCGGGCGGGGCATTCCTGGCCCGATCGAGTAACCGCGGGCTGGGGCTCCGGCGCCCGCTCCGCCTTATAAACGCCCGGCCACCGGCGTCCCGCAGCGCACGTGCGGGACCCGGGCCCCTCCGCCTTGCCCAGGAGTTCTTTCCGCCTGGGGTCCGTCCCATCCCACCCCGGGGGTCACTGCAGCCTCGACGGCCCCTTGCTCAGCACCCCTGAGCTCTCGGTCTGCAGAGCGCGATGGTCACGGCCCTGAATGTCTCGCGTGACATGGGGCAGCTGTTCCGGCCCTACGACTTCGAGACGACCCGGGACTTGAGGCCCTTTCTGGAGGAGTACTGGTGAGACCTGGGGGAGGACGGGCCAAGTCGGGCCAGACCCTGCTCCCCGCTGGGGGTGGGTGGGGACGGAAGGCCTGCAGTTCTGGCCTTCGCGCCGGGAGAAGGCGTGGAGGAAGGAGAGGCTGGGAGGAGCCGGAGGTCGAGGAGAGCTCTCCAGTAGGTCCTTCGTGGCAGTGTTCGTGCCGGGGGAGCCTGCTCTGTGCGCTGCCTCACTGTCCGGGCCGTGGAGGCCACGAAGGCAGGGAGCCCTGCACACTTCCCAGGCTCAGCGCTCGGGGCATGTGGGCTATCGCGACCCAAGTGCAGAGAGCATTGCCACATTCGCCTTACACCACAGCCCCAGGTTACTTCTAGGTGTGGGCCGGAGTCCTGCCACCCGCCCCCAAACACATTGCAGCAGTAATCACAGAAGTCTGGCTACGCTCCTGCCCTGAACTCTGTTCACCGTAGTACTGCCAGGAGGGGTGTTATTTGTCCCTTCCAAAGGAAGCCAAAGTGTCACACCAGTAGGAAGTGGCAGGGCTGGAAGTGCAAGCAAGAGCATTCCCACGGACAGATGAGCAGGCATTCCCCTGCCGTGCCCACCCGCGAGCCCAGGCCCTCTGCACTCTGCCTGCCAGGGCAACTGCATTCCCCATAGCGCTGGTCTATCTGCTGCTCATCATTGTGGGGCAGAGCTCCATGAAGGCGAGGAAAGGCTTCAACCTGCAGGGTCCCCTGATCCTCTGGTCCTTCTCCCTTGCGCTCTTCAGGTAGGACACTCCCCTCTCCCATTCTTTGCCTCTTTTTAGGGGGCTAGGGGGCGGGGATTGAATCCAGGGTCTCTGCATCAAGCCATATCCACAGCCCCTTCCCCTTTTGTGGAATTTTGAGTCAGAGTCTTGCTAAAAACCTCCCTTCTACCCTCACATCTTTTCAGAGATCTCAGGTGCATCTTTCTCCTAGCTCCCAGCCTTCCCCACATTTACCCTGTTTTCCTTATTTCCTAGACCCAACCTGGCAGTCCCTCCCCCTTTCCTCTCAGTCCTTTTTTTTTTTTCCCCTCTCAGTTCTTTCTTATTTCTTTTTTTTTGGTACCGGGGATCGAACTTGGGTCCTTGCGCTTGCACAGCAGATGGCAAAACCACTGAGCTAAATCCCCGGCCCCCCTCTTAGTTCTTTTTTTTTTTTTTTTTTTTTTGTGGTACTGGGGATCGAACTCGGTTCCTTGCACTTTCGAGGCAGGTGCCGGAACCACTGAGCTAAATCCCCGGCCCAATAATTAAGGTTCACTTTTTTTTTTTTTCTTTTTTCCTGCAGGGGATTGAACTTGGGACCTTGTGCTTGTGAGGCCAGCGCCACCCTCTCAGTTCTTAATACTCTGTCCCAAGACTGGCCCACAACCCCAGCACCTCCTTCTTGTGTTTTCTTCCTCCAATCCTTTGATCTTCCCCATCCTACCCCACCACAAGATCTTCCTCTGCCCCTACTCCCAGTCCTTAACGGAGCTTTCAGCCCTTCATTCCCTGGTTGTCGCTCAGCCTTCATCTCCTGTAGAGTCCCAGTTGAATCTACCAGATTGGCCCCGGAACTCAGAGGCCATGACCCATGTCCCCCTTGGAAGGGTGAGAAGGTTGTGGAACTCAAGGCTTAGTGACCTGGTCGGGCCAGGGGGAAGGTGAGCTGGTGCCTGGGAATGACCCTCATTCCATCTTCCTCGGTCCCATTTCAGTATCCTGGGAACAGTGAGAACATGGGGCTACATGGGGGCCCTGATGCACAGAGGGGGCCTGAAACACACGGTGTGCTTCACTGACTCCACCGAGCATCCCATAATCAAATTCTGGTCCTGCCTCTTTCTTCTCAGCAAGGTCATCGAACTCGGTAAGTGGCAAGGCTTTGTGTCCCCATGTGTGTCCCTCCTCAGAGAGCTTCCTCGCCATCGCAGAGTCCCTTCCCCACCTCTAGTCCTAACAGCACATTTTCTCCCAACCCCTCTCAGATTCTCTGCCATAAAGACCACCCTCCGCACCCTGAGAGTCCTCCTGTGTCCCCACACCCAGTGCAGAGGGTGGTCTGGCACGCCTGCCTCTTCTCTCCCAGGAGACACAGCCTTCATCATCCTGCGGAAGCGGCCACTCATCTTTGTGCACTGGTACCACCACAGCACGGTGCTGGTGTTCACAAGCTTCGGGTACAAGAACAAAGTGCCTTCGGGGGGTTGGTTCATGACCATGAACTTCGGGGTGCACTCGATCATGTACACCTACTACACACTGAAGGCCGCCAGGGTGAAGCACCCCAGGCTGCTCCCCATGCTCATCACCAGCCTGCAGATCCTGCAGATGGTTATGGGGACCGTCGTGGGCATCCTGACTTACATCTGGAGACAGGAGCAAGGGTGCCGCACCACGGCGGAACAGTTCTTCTGGTCCTTTGTCTTGTATTCCACCTATTTCATCCTCTTTGCCCATTTCTTCCGACAAACCTACATCTGGCCCCAGGTCAAAACCAAGACCAAAAGCCACTGAGGGGCTGGAGAGGAAGAAGAGCCTTGAGCTCTCTCTCTTCCCCGGACCCCAGCGGACTGGACTCACATTTGGGGAATGATCGGGGTGCCTTCCCTGCATGGCTTCCCAGTGCTTCATGTGCTCCACGGTGGCAGAAGTTATGGCGGATAAGTATCCCCTGGGATGAGGGTGTGGCCTGGTACTCTGATATTTCTGTCTTTAATGTGAAGCCAAGCAGGCCCTGGAGAAGAGGCGGGGCTGAGGAGGGTCCGAACAGGTGATTTATTTATATTTCTATCCAGAAAAGTTTCTTCTTGCTTTATTTTTAAAATTAATGACGTCGTGGTGGCGCACACCTGTAATCCCAACACTCAGGAGGCTGAGGCAGGAGGATTGCTGTGAGTTTGAGGCCAGCCTGGGCTACATAGTTCAAAGCCAGCCTGAAGTACATAGTGAGACCCTGTCTCAAACAAAACAAAACAAAAATGAATGGTGTGGACAAGATTTGGAGGGGATCGGGAAGAAGGAGGGAGGGGCTTCTGGGATGGGAGAAGTCTTGGCAGCTGGGCGATGGGCATCCTGAGGGAGTGGAAGGAGAGGAGGCACACACAGAGAGACAATAAGAATCCTAGGCCTGGTAGGCACTTAATAAATGTCTGTTACAGACCAGAATTTTATTGCTGTTCGGGGCCCATGCCCCTCATGGAACAGTGAGAAAGAGGTGCTGAACGGCGGAGTAGTTATCTAGGCAGAGGCGTCCTAAACTGCCGAATTGATCCCTGCAAATACGCGCTGGAGCCCGGACCGACCAGCTGTCCTCCCTGAGACCGCGAGGTGGCGCCGCAGCACCGGCTTTGCCGACGTGCCCCGAGCTGGAGGCACCCGCGCGCCCTTCGCTGCTCCCGCCTCGGAGGAGGGGAGTCAGGGCCTGGGCCTGGGCCCTCGCCTCGTCCTGGCACATCCATCTCTCTTTAGGCCGTGGGGGAGAAGGACGAGAGAGGTCAACCGCAACTCGAGTCAGCAGGTTCACAGTCCGCGCACGTTTATTTCATTTACCTTTGCAAACGGGATGGGGCGTCTGGAGCAGCTGACCCCGGGAGCTGGCCCCTGTTCCTGGCCTCAGTCCCCGGGCGCGGTCCGGCCGGGGAAGGGCCCCCGGAACCCCCTCCCCAGACCCGCGGCGGGAGCAGGCCCGCGCAGACGACCCGGTCGCCGCGGACGGGCGCCGCCTTCAGGAGCCCCGGGGCGCTCAGACGGGCCGCTCCACGGCGTACTGGCACGGGCTGAGGTTGGCGGCCGGGGGCGGCCCGGGCACGGCGGGGTAGCTGAAGGAGGCGTGCTGCTTGGCCTTGAGCCGCAGGCTGGCCAGGCTCGAGTTACACGGGTCCCGGTACACGTAGGGCGCCGAGGCGTACGGGCAGGACACGGCCGTGGAGGACACGGCGGCCGGCGCCAGCCCGGGGGGCCCCCCGCCCAGGCCCTGCAGGGCTGCGGGGCCGGGCACGGCGCCGGGCGCGGGCGCGGCTGCCGGCACCATGGAGGCGGCGATGGAGCTGGGCGGCGAGAAGACGGGCTGCGAAGCCAGCGGCCCCACGTTGACCGAGTTGAAGGCGAACGGGAAGGTCTTGGCGGCGAGCGGCGGCGCGAGCGCCTTGGGCGGCCAGTTGCCGTAGGCGTAGCCGGGGTACACGTCCTCGTAGGGCGGCACCAGCCCACCGAGCGGCGCCGCGAAGCCGCCCTTGCAGAGCTCGGCCTGCTGGCTGCGCTCGCGCTTGCGCCACTTGGCGCGCCGGTTCTTGAACCACACCTGCGGGCGAGGTCGGGGCCACTCAGACGGGGCGCGGGCCCGCCCGGCGGCGGCCACGGGGCTGGGGACAGTGGGGCGGGTCGGAGGGGACGGGACACCGAGCCGGGGAGGGCGGCGCAGTACCCGCACGCGAGCCTCGGTGAGATTGGTCCACACGGCGATCTCCTCGCGCGTGCTCATGTCCGGGTAGCGGTTCCTCTGGAAGGTCGCCTCCAGCTCCTGCAGCTGCTGGCTGGTGAAGTGCGTGCGCTGCCGCCGCTGCTTCTTCTTCAGCGAGCCGTCCTCGGGGGAGCCTCCGGGCAGCGAGGCTGAGGCCTTCTCCGAGTCTGGGGGCAGGGGCAGGGTTAGGGACCTCCCTACCCTCCTGCCGCCCCCACCCGGCTGCCACCCAGGTCGCTCCCCTCGGGGACCGAGCGGCCATCTCCTCGGCCCCGGAAGGGGGCGCGCTCACCGCTGTGCTCCGGGCCCTTGCAGCTGTGCTCCGGGAGAGGAGGGTGCGGAGTGCCCGCGTCCGACAGCGACAGCGCGGGGCTGCGGGCCTCCGCCTCGGGGAGCAGCCCGAACTCCATGGAAGGTTCTGGAGGGAAGAGCACGCAGAGACCAGGGACACCAGACTTTGTAGCTGCTGAGCGCCTAGAACTGTGCCTGATGCACAGTTGGTGCTTGATATTTGTTGACTTAAAAAAAAAACAAAAAACCCACACCGGGAGTGCAGACTCGTGCACCACTGTGGAAATCAGTACGGAGATACCTCAAAGAACTAGGACCGGAAGTCCCATTTGACCCAGCTATTCCCCTGCTGGGGATCTTCCCAAAAGAATTAAAAGCATCATACCACAGTGATATATGTGCACCCATGTTTATAGCGGGACAGTCTGTAATAGCTAACGCTTAGAAACAGCCCAAGTGCCCATCAACTGGAAACTGGGTAAAGAAGATGTGGGGGTTTTTACAAAATGGAATACTACTCAGCCATAAAGAACGAGAAACTAAGACATTTATAGCTAAATCGATGCATATTGAGGCCATCCTCTTAAGTGAAATAAATAGGACACAAATGTGTAAATACCAAAGTTTCTCTGGTGTGAGAAACTGAAAGTATAAATAAGGATTAAAATGATTAAAATGAATAATTGATACTTTGAAATAGGAAGAAAAGGTCCAAAGGGGTAGGGGAAGTGGCAGGGGAAGGGGAAAGAAAAGAAGGGAAAGGAAAAATTATGAGAAAAGGAAAGAATGGAAACAAAGACTTTGTAAGTAGGGAAGGGAGGACAGGGAATGGGGAGAAAATAAGAACCAAGATCCATCATGTGCAGGTACAAGCACTCAATGATAAATATAATCATATTGTATGCCTAAAATGTACAATTAAAAGAATTTAAGCAAAACCCCCACGCACACACAGTTGCCCATCACATCCAACGTTCAGTACCCCCGAAACGTGCTCCTACACATCCCTCGGCCTCAACGCGGACCTGCCATTCCTTTTCATTGGGCAGGTGCTGCTTGGAACCAGGTCTGCTACTTCTCCCGAGAGAGTAGTCACTGCTGTCACTCACTGGTGCCAACTTTGAGCCTTCACCTCATTAACTCTCACTTCACAAGAACAAATGGAAACTTATTAATACAGGTTAAGTTTCCCTTATCTGAAATGCTTTGGACCAGAGGTGCTTCAGATTTCAGAGTTTTTAATATTCTGGAATATTTGCTTAGATTTACCAGTTGAGTACTCCTATCCAAAAACTGGAAGTCTGAAATGCACCAAAATTTGAAACTTGTTGAGTTGACACAAAGTTTCAGATTTCAGAGCTTCTTAGATTAGGGTGCCCAGGATGTTTTGCTTTTTAATTTTTTCCTCTCCCCATACTGGGCCCTAACCCAGGGCCCCACTTTTTCATGCTAGGCAAACACTCCACCTCTGAGCTACTCTCCAGCCTGCGGACGCCTGACCTGTATTACTCTTTACAGGTGTGAACGGAGACTTGTAACTTGATTCAGGTCGCAGGGCTTGTCCGTAGTGACTGGGATCTGAACCAGGTCTGTGGGATTCCTAACAGTTTCTCCCTCTGCCTCCTCCTCTTTGGGGGCCTCTCCAGATGCCCCTCAGGGGCTCAGCTAGAGCTCCAGCCTGGCTTGACTTGGGTGAATTTCAAGTAGGGCAGCTCTTCTTTTGTATTCTTTGTGTAGTATAATTTCTAAAGAGATTTCATTTCAATAAAAGGTTCCAGAATCAAAAACAAGTTTGCCAACAACCAGGTGCTCAGGCCCTGTCTGCTCTTTCACTTGTCCGAACACAACTCCCATCCTACCAGTCATCTGCCCAACTCTTGACCTCTTCCAAGCCCACTCTGGTGGGCATGGCCTCCATAAGACCTCTCCCTGTCCCTGTCCCCTGTGCCACGCCAGGCCAGACTCTGCCCAGGAGCCCGCCTCAGGCCCTCTCCAGGTGTCCCCTATACATCTCCTTTCCTGCTGGTTCCCAGGAGCCCTCTAGTGGGAGGGAGGGAAGAGTCCCAATGACTCTAGGTCAGAGGAACATGGAAGGAGACTAGGGAAATAAGGATGGGCAGAGCACTGGCTGGGAGGGATCTCTCTGTACCCAAGACCCCTTCCCAGTAACAGGAGCTTAAGGCAGTCTTCTTCGTGGGGTGGCATTAATGGGATGGATTAGCCTGGATTGAGATGTGTGTCACTTGAGTGCTCTGAATTGATTAGGAGTCTTTCTGGAGGAGGTGCAGATGGGCAGCGGCCTGTATTTGCACATGGTAATGTCCCCTTTAGCCAGCTCTCAGCTCCCAGCTGTGCCTCACCCAGGCCAGGCCAAGAGTGGGACAGAGGTCACAGCGGGGTTGCCCTTTTCACCAGCAGTAGGCTCTGACCTTGAACTTTTTGCTGGGGCTGGAGAAGGGCTGGGTGGAATCCAGGAAAGAAGTCAGGCCAGGAGTGGAGGTGTGCTCGCTCGCTCAGCCTACTGCCCTTTCTGATCTGAACTGGAAATCCTGGGGGGAATGGTAGCCTTGGTCGGCAGCCCTTCCCAGATAGCTGGGAAGATGAGGGAGGAAGGTTGGGGGCTGACAGCGGGGAAGCAGCACTCTAAAAACTCTTCCTTCAGGCCCAAGCTGACCTGGAAAGCAAGCCATGCCCCGGACTTTTCCAGGGGTCATGGAAAGCTGGAGAAAAGGGACAGTAGATCTTGTCTGTGGGCAAAACTAAGCCCCCCCATTACCATCCATCCCTCCAGTCTGCTTCGGCTCCAGACCGCTGCTTTTCCAAACTCCCTGCCCCCAGCATTCCATACCTAGGTCTTGATTTCACCCTCTATTTCCGCAGAGGGAGACAGAGTTCGAGGGATGAGGGCCAGAGAAAGACAAGCCGAGCAAGCAGAGTTCAGGCTGCATGTTCACAGAGACAGACAGACACATGTGCAGACACACACAAGCCCCCACTCAGACATAATAAGCACTTGGACTTGGAGCTCGAGGCACACAAACATACTCTCCCACACATGCGCTCCCACATTCAGGCAGACGGACACACGCAGTCATGCCGGCTACTCTCTGTGACAGGGACAGCTGCCGGCTGTTTTGGAGTAGCTGCTCCCCTCCCCTTTCTGGCCCCTCCGCTCTCAGGCCCAGGCACTAAAGACTGTGGGGGAGGAGGCCCGGGGATCAGGGAGTCTCCCGCTGGTGGCTGCTGGCCCAGTGGGGAAAGGCAGGAGAATGACAGAGCTGCGGGGGGGCAGAGCAGATAATGCCCTGAGCCCCCTTAAATGGTTATCTGGTATAGGCCAAAGGAATTAAGTTCATTTCCTTGTGGTTGTTTTTGGGGATTTTTTTTTTTTTGAGACAAGATCTTGCTATGATCTAGGCTGGCCTTGAACTCATGGTGATCCTCCTGGTTCAGCCTCCTGAGTACTGGGATTACAGGCCTGTGGCATCATTCCGGGTAGAAGAATTAAGTTTGAAATCAAAAGATCTAGGTTTATGCCCTGGTTCCTCAACTTATTACAATAGCTGTGTGTCCTTGGCAAATTACTTTACCTTTCTTGGCATATTTCTTCATCTCTAAAAAGGAAATAACCCATAATCCCTTCCCTACCTGCATTCAGCATTGTTATAAAGTTTAGATACACATATCATGATAAAATGGGTAGCAGTGAAACTCTACGAGAGTATGGAATGCCTCCCTCCCCAGACCCCATCTACCAGGGGAGGCGTCCCCTGTGCAGGAAGTGAGTGTGGTGTGCTGCAGAGAGGGATACAGCACCCTGTCCTGAATAAGGGGCGCAGTAACTCACAGAGGCTGCTTTGGCGAGTGGGGACTGGTCAGGGAGAGAATGAAGCATGTGGACTCCTGCATGGGTTGCTAAGAGCAGAGAGAGGGGCCTGATGCAAAGCTGCAGGGAGAGGAAACAGAACCGCAGCTGGGTGGCACAGCCAGATGTAAGGTGGGGCACAGGCACTGGGCTACCTCAAGTCCAAGTGGGCTGGTGGGGCAAAGGCTGTGGTGCCGAACGGTTGTCTGGCTGCAGACCGGCTGGCTGAAGATTAAGCTCCCCCAACTGCTGGAGGTCAGGAAGCCGGCAGTTGGGGGTGAGGCCAGGGACTCTGCCTCACTCGGCGACGGTGGGGAGGGACAGCTTAGGTGTGGAGCTGCAGGATTGGCTGGTGGGGCACCCGGCTGGGCCAGAGAGAGCCAAGGCAAAACTGTGTTGGTGAGTCTGGCTGACTCTGGGAGGGGCTGCCTGCACCACCCTGTTCGGACACATGGCCCAGCCCCACTGGGCTCAGAGCAGCAGGCCCAAACCCGGACCTAGAGAGAAGTGCAGGCTGGAATTAAGACAGGCAAGGGCAAAATATCCAGGATACATTAGGGTGGAGAGTGGATGACACAGGCCAGAGAGGCCATGTGGGGGTGGCCATGGTTTCCAAGGAACACTGCCTTATGGCAAGAAGGCAAGGGTCACGGTGACCACTGAAATCCTGAAGCTAGAGTGTTGACCAACGCCATCCTGAGAGAGCCCGTGGCAATCTGCAATAGCAATGCTGAAGGGCAAGAGGTAGATCTTGGAATTTAAATGAGAGAAAATCGTTTTCTTGCAGGCTGAATGGAGAGAAAAGGGGCTGAAGTCATGATGTTGTTGTACGTTGTGGCAAGGAGCAGTGGGGCAAGTGAAAAGCCAAGGCCTGAACCTAGTACAGAACCATTGTGTAAGTGTAAAGCCAGAGTGAGGCCTTTCAGGGGACACAGCCTTCTCTTCTGAGGAATGTTGGGCACTCATTCTGGTCTGCAGAGCTGCAGAGTGCAGGCGGGGCACATGAAGACACATTTATTTGGTCAGAGCTCTAGGATGAAACACCAGGAGTCAGGGGTAGCAATCCAGGGGCGAAGGAAGGACTGGAGAAACCATCCTGCACCTGTCCCTTGCAGGGCTCCTCCCTGCTTCCTTCCCTCAGCAAGTGTTAGGTGCGAGCGGGATCCCTATGAATAGGCGACTCCAACGCTAACTGCTGGGAGACAGTGCTTAGGGTGGAAACACAGAGGGGACTGCAGAGCGATGGAAGCCCATCTCAGTCGGTGCCCAGTGCTGGGAGCTCTGAGAACAGGGTGTAAGGCTGAAGTGGGGTTCGGAGACAGAGATGAGGCAGGGCCTTCTAAACCCTACAGCAGTGTTGGGAAGGAGCTGGCAAGTTCCCAGGGCGATGGGAAGCCTCACTTGGTCAGCTCAGTGTGGACAGGGAAAACCAGCAGAGAGAAGTGGCGCAGAGTGAGGGACCTCTGAGAGGGACGA